GGCTTAGGATTTTTTAACTCTATTCAAAGTCTGCAGTATCAAAAGTGCACTCGAACAATCTAGGACCTTATTGATGCTGTGGAAACCTCGTTTTATGAATTGCCCGTGGACACGGTGTCAAAAACTTTCATTACACTTCAAAAGGTGATGGAGAAATGCATCGAAATACACGGTAGCAATGATTATAAGCTCCCTCACATGAAGAAGGATGCGTTGATAGCGGACTTCACGACCTTCAACGTTGAGTGTGATGCGTATAACTACGAGAGTGCCTTAATCCATTTGAACTTTCGACTTGGGGAAGAGGCTTCCATGGAAGCACTTCTGAATTCTGAAGAACAAGATCTTTTGGCAATTGAATAAAATTACATTATATTTTTGGCCACTTTTATTCGTTTCTGGAGTGACATACAAATAATAGGTTGTTTTGGGTTGGAGCCCCATAATTTAATCAAGTCAAAAAAGAAGGCCGCAACTATTTCGGACCAGAGTAGTATAAACATGCATTAGGTGCTGAAACTTCATTTCATACCTGGTGGAGTTGTATCATTTTCTAACAAAATAAAATCCCTCACAGACTTGACCTAGGAGGTATTCCCTCGATCCAAAGGTATATTTGAATTCAGGAGTTTAACGTGCAGTCTGAGAGGGGTTATATGTTATGGGAGTCACAACTCTTGCATTCCTTCCGCCCTGACTGACACTATCTCTATATCGTTTCAATGCATCCAGATATTTCGAGCCGCATTATTATAGATAGTCCAAGGTAATTTGTTAAAGGAGCGGCTGGCTAGCCCCAGGGGCAGGGAAAATAGCATTTATATTTATTTCAGTACTTCGAAGTAAAAGAAATGGTAATTACGCTTATTTGTGACACGCAACGAGGAGAAAATATTGTGAATTCGATATAAACTTCCAAAATTCGCGTGATTGGTCTAATCAATATGGAATCACGCTAGAGTTTTGATTAGTTGAATATCCTTGCCTTTTCTGTAAGATCCAATCAAATCCATTCTAAATTGGATTAGCCAATAGCGTCGATTCGGGATTTGATTCGAAGGGGTCTGGATATTAGTACCGAATCCACATTCTTACGTAATATTTTTTCGTACTCTACACATCACAGGATAAAAAATTGTTCCAGCCAGTCCAAAAAATGAATATTTATTGACAGTGAGTAATTCAACAATAACCCATGAATACTTTATCGTATCCGGATGTAATAATTCCCTCACTTGAAACAGTATTTCGGGCCAAAACAACAGTGGAACTGTTTTAATGAGGGAATTATTCCTAGTAGTATGTTTCGTCCAGGTGAGAGCTTCTATCACCCAGAACTTCAAGTTTAGTGGTAGGTACTGTAATCAGAAATGGCGTATTTTTAATCACTTTAGTCCAGGTCATAAAATCTCTCACTGGGGATAAGCCAATTAAACGTCAGTATTGTGGACTCTGATTGGTGTATTTCTTGTTTACTGTTAATCCAATATCGAAAATGTTTTGGCTAATATATTGTTGTACGTTCCTCCTTTTATGAGATCTTATTGGCTTTGGCCCGGTGAGAGATTCTATCACGCAGAAAATGCTCCCGACCATTTGGGCTAAGAGTGTTTTTCATCTAAATCCAGAAATTATATTTCTTCATCCACGGTAGTCATCCATAAACCTGGATGACTAGAGTGGTGATCAATCTATTCCTCTTGTCGCTTTACCCTAATACAATGGCCTATCATTATCCAAATCAGGTAAGTGACCTGATATAATGTTGGTGGATGACGTCTGGTACAGTAAGATCGCTGGTAACGGTATATTCAGTTTTACTGTTAATGCTGTCCATCTCTAGTCCAAGTGCTTCGGACGGAGGCATACTGGGAAGTACAGAATGCAACGCCCGCCGAAGATATTAGTGTGTCACACAACAAATTATCTAATCAAAATGAAACCCCAAAATACCTCGCGTTAATTGGTGGAATTATAATACTTCGCGCCCGCGCACTCTTCATATTAAAATATCCGTTTGTGGTGTCAAAATCCACACATCACCGCACACAACCAAACATGCACCGGCGTACGCAATATCTGATTTCAACCAAGCTCGAAGCAATCGGTCTCCTCGAGTCTATGTCCTGTCGCGAGGTGGCGAGAGGACTGAAAGTCCCTCTGCTCACCGTTCGCATCTGGCTGGCCCAGCGCTTCGAGCTACTGGCGTACTACGGCAACAAGAAAAACAAAAAGCTCGAGCCAGGTGGCCGCTACGAAGAATTCCCTGACCCTCCAGGTTTAGTTGAATTCATAACTCATGTTCGCGATAATGAAAGTGCTTTGACCACCACGCACATGATTGCGTGGTTTAAAGTGAACCAAAAGGAGTGGTTGCTCAACTACTTTGCTATAAAAAGCTGAATGCTGCCTATAACTCACTGCTCAAGCTACTGCAGCGATTTTGCAAGCGCCACGGATTCTCGTGTCAACGTCCCGCGAAGAACAAGCTCAAGCAAACCGTGCTGGCGGAGGTTGCTGCGGAATTCGCCGGTGATTTCATCACGAGTATGCCTCCTACTCCAAGGACTGCGTGTTCAACGTGGATGAGACCGGCATGTACTACGACTTACCTCCCAGCTACATCTGGGCAGTTCGTGGCGGAAGCTCCAAGATCTCCGCTGGTGAGAAACACTTGATGCGTTTGACCGCTGTGCGGGCTGACAGAACGAAACTACCGCTGATGTTCATCATGCGTGGCACACCTGGTGGTCGGATCGAGTCCTCGGAGTTCCCCACTTTTCGAAGCGAACACTACTACGCTGTTCAAACCAAGGCCTGGATGGATGGACTTGTTTGGGCTCAGTACCTGCGGGAGGTGCTGGGGGGGAGCATCGAAGAGCCATCTGTTGTTCTCATGGACAACTTCGAGTGCCACGTCTCTGCGGCATCGTACAAGATCATGTACGAGGAATTGGGTACGCACCTTCGTCCTCTGCCCCCCAACTCCACGTCCGTGTGCCAGCCGCTCGACGTGGGAGTCATGGCGCCTTTCAAGCGCAACCTCCGCAACTTGTGGCTCCTGGAGGAGCAGATCATTGGCGACGACGAAGATCCGTACTCACTCACCGCTCAGCAAAAACGCATGGCCATGGTGCAGCGTGCCATCTCTGCGTGGGATATGGTCTCTGAAGACGTGGTTCGTCGAAGCTTCGAGAAGGTCATTCCAACACCTGAAAATTATGCAAAACAATAAAATTATTCGTTGTGTTTATTTATTGTATGCGAATATTAGGATATTTTCAAAGCGAATATTTTTTTTTTAAAGTTCACCGCGCCCGGGAATCGAACCCGGGGCTAACACAAGACACCCAACACGGTTTACTATTTGAGCTGTCGCGCCGAACGCTTACGCTTACTCCTTGACTACAGTACCAGTCGAAGTTCATGTTACAATATTAGGGAGATTTCACAATTCAATCCGTGTTCGTGTCCGTGCATTTTTTTGCACGGACACGAACACGGATTAACTGTAAATTTAGACGATTTCGCTGTATAAATAGATTTCTGCGGCCGGAATAAACATAAGAAATCAACTACTTTGCAATAATCCTGTCTCGGGAAGAACATGTTATGGTTGTCAAGCATAAACGCTTCGCGAGGCCTGCGTGTCGTCGTAGACTTCTGCTCGTACTCGTAGCGTCGATTAAACGACCTCTTGTTCCCGACGTCCGCTTCAACTTGGATTCCTACAACGATGCTGACCTCAAACTGAAGTTTCGCTTCGGCTCCGACGAGATCCGCCTGCTCGTCAACCTTCTGGGTATTCCAAGTGTGGTCATTACTGAGATGCGCGACCGTGTCCATGCTGTTGAAGCCATATGCATCTTGCTTCACCGGCTCTGCTACCCCAAACGCTACTGTGACATGATGGCCCTCTTCGGCCGCTCACGGGAATCGATTTGTCGACAGCATTGTCAACTTGCTTTACGACAAGTGGAAACGCACCATCTACTTTGCAATTGACACCGTCGAGACACGGCTCCAGCTCTACGCCAATGCCATCGCTAACAAAGGTTCGCCTGTGGCGTGCCTCTTTGGTTTCATCGACGGGAGCAAATTCGAAACCTGCCGCATCACTCAGACCAGTGCATCTGCCTTTCCCGACATGCAGCGCTACGTATACAGTGTCCACAAACGGCGCCACTGCTTGAATTTCCAAGCCATAACTGCACCGGATAACTTGTGCATCCACTTCTGGGGCCCGCTCGAGGGTGCGCGACACGACACGACGTTGCTTCGTGAGAGTAAGCTGCTGGATTACGTGACGGAGCGCTCCTACATTTTCAACAACTACTTCATTTACGGCGATCCTGCTTATGGTGTTCTGCGCTGGATTTTTTCGGGGTACAAAGGCAATACGATTACCCAACAAGAAAGCGCGTTCAAAAGCACCATGAGTACTGTGCGTCAGTCTATGGAGTGGTGGTTTTCAAGGTTGAAAACACTGTGGTCGTTCGTGACATTCAAGATGTAGCAAAAAAATTATGCTGCAAAGTGTTGGGAAAGTCATCTCGATAGCAATGTTTCTGACCAAATTCCCACTTTTGCATTAACGGTGGAAACCAAATTAGTTCGTTCTTTGGGATGAAGCCTCCCTCAATTCAGGAATATCTAACTACATAATTGATCAATACATTTTCATTTTCATGTGTTATCTATCCATCTACCGAAAAGAATTTGGACATACATAATACTCATTTCACTACTTTGTAGCTCAAAAATATTATGTAGTATGTACTAGTAGTATAAAAATAATTTACTACTTACAATTAGTAAGTGAGCACTACAAACACATACTAGTACAGTACATGTGTACTAGTACTATGTATTCCAAAATATTAATTCCAGCACAACTAGCTCTCGCGTAAATTAATTAACCTATGCGATTGTTTACCGCCGCAAGTTCGAGTGCTAAAATCTCGGACATTTGGTTGCGCGTCTCTTCGCGCTGCTTGCGGTCGTTCTCCCGTGCCTCACACCGTTCGTCGCGATCAAGGCGCTTTTCTTCAATCTCTTGCTCCATTTTTGCCTTCTTAAATGCCAACCGTTCCCGCTTCAATTGGACCTCGTCTTGGTGGAGGTCGACAAGCATCTTTTTCTTCGAAGGGGTTGTAGATGCCTCGTCTCGCTCGTCATCTTGAACTTTCGCTCGTTTCATGGGGCACGTTCGCATGGTCTCATCTCGAATGTGCCGTGCTGCCTCTTCGGACCACGCCTCTTCTTTCTGATCAGCCGCGTTTGCTTGTTGCTTGCCCTTCTTTTTTGCCACGTTGTCCTTTCGAAAGGCAACCAACTCGTCGAGAAGAATATGCATTTCGTTGTGTTCTTGATCGACACCGCATAAATACACGGACTCCTTCTGGAACTTTTCGTGGTTGTCGAAAGCAGGTGGAACCTGTGCGATGTTTTCTTATCGTCGACTTCGCATTCCTGGCGAGAGAAGCCAGGGGTTTAGCAAATTGCACCCAAGCACCTCCCAATACTTCATGACTCGATCTTGGAGGAATGGTCGCTCGTTGTTAGCCTGTATCAACAGCGCCAAGTCATCCTCACTTGTCAACCTGGTCATGGTGCACGAAACCACAGAATGGAACCCCTCCTGTTCGGATAACCACTATATCTTGTGATTATCCGAATCCGTGATAGCTGCTCTTTTCACGGATTCCTCAATAAAGTTTCATGAGTTTCCGTGATTGTACTAATTATGGAGGGTAATTATTACGGAAACACTAACGTAGGGCACCGGTCATCGGCATTTTTCGACCTTTTTTGCTCGTCGATTTCTCGGTGACGACAACGCATATTGAGATGGCCCATACATCAAAACAACAGCAAGATTATGTTCATTCATTGATATTCAAAGAATATCAATTTAAATAGGGAGCACAAACGGTATGAATTTTCAAAGTAAGCCTTGCTGCATAGGGCACCGGTCATCGGCACACATTTAGACTTACGTAATGTATTGAATTTCCCCAACTGCTGGTATGTGGAATTCTGTCAAAATATCAAATTTCAAAGTATTATGTGCTTGGGAGAGGTATGAACTATTACAGTTTCTTTGTGTGCTACCACAAACGAAAAAAGTCATACGTTCAGTGGGGATCGAACCCTTGGCCAATTCATTGACCGGTACTGCAATTTTTGCTTCAGGTCAATTGGACATCGTCGGAGTACGGAACATTATTATGGGCCCACCATTAGATGTACTTTTGAGGTTGGGTATTTGCATCAGTTGATGTAGTCATGTCTTTGACACGCTATAAGGACGATAATTCTCCTTGGTGATGACGCCACACTCAGAATCCACTTTTTTACTACTACTACACTATAATACGAAGCAATTGCTTGGATGTATATTATATTAATGTATATCACATTTTGACTAACATTGTTAAAGCAAACACTGAAACAAAATCAATTCCCATTGGTTAATGCAAACACTGAAACAAAATCAATTCCCATTGGTTAACAATACAATTAAACCACTACGATTTCAAGTGCCCCAGGGCTAGGAATCATCCGCTGCTTCTTTGCTCTTTTCTTCGATTTCGTGTCCTCAGCTTGAGCTTGAAGGAGCTCATGATAGTCGGCTGTGATAAACATGCCACTCACCGACAACGTCTTTCGCACTGGACCCCTCTTGCTGCGTTTGGGAGGTAGGAGTAGTACAGACTTGCGAATAGTGGCAGCACGTTCGAGCCAAGTTTCTTCAACTTGTTCTACACGCTCCGATGGTGGTTGGAACAGAGACAACCGGTACATCATGGCATCCAACGATGGAGGAAACAACCCAGTCGAGGCAAATCCGTTCACGATGGTAGACATATTTGTGGAATTGGCCCACACTTCGCAGGTGATGGAGACTGCCTTCTGCTTGGTGACGTTGCTTCCAATGTCATTCCACATGTAGTCAGCGATTTGAGATCGGATGGCAATCTTAAAGGGGCGAAAAACGGACACATCCAGCGGCTGGAAGAGGTGGGTCCAATTTGCAGGCAAAAACTGCAGAAGGATTTTCAGACGCTTCGCCTCCTCCACAATGTGGACCGAGTAATGCTATGAGCACCCATCGACAATCAACAAGATGGGACGCGCCACGTCACTGGGCACCGAGTCATTCAGCATGGTTAGCCACTTGCGGCAAATGAAGGAATTCGTCCAACCTTTCATCGATGTTGTGACCACTGCACCGGGAATTGTCAGGTTGTCACACACTGTCATCAACACGCGTTCGCCAGGCAACACAAACAGTGGAGGGATCTTGAGCCCATCGGCACCAACACAAGCAACGATAGTGATGTGACATGACATCGTCGGCTCAGTCACGAATACTGATTTGGACATCTGATGCGCGACAGCCACGCTGGGGGCTTGACTGGGTGAGAAACTTGTCTTATCCATATTGAAAATGCATCGAGGATCCAAATTGACGCATGACAATGAGTGGGCAAGCTGGTGGAAAAAGTCCACAACCTTGTCCGGCGTGATGGCACTTCGAGCTGCAGATAGAGTCTGTGCCTTCTTTCGTTTCAGCTCCGGATGACGCGCCATGAACCAATGGTACCAGCCACGCGTTAAAGGTTGAGCTGATCCGTGGATAACCTCAAGAATGACAGTCGCCTTCTGGATGATTCCTTTGCGCCCGACGGCACGACAATCTGTTTCCATGCCGAGGATCCAGGTCACCAAGTCGTCCTCGTACGACATGGGGAGAGATGGAGGTGGCCCCGTGCACAAGGGTGTCACGGTGGCTTCCATTGCCTTGGATCGATGCACATGAGTATGGAGTGTACGAAGAGGTACTCCATGACGCATTGCAATGTTTGCAACAGTATCCACCCGTTTCAGCACGTCGTCGATGGCTTTTGACATGTCGTCGGCTGAGTATGCCGTTTTCGGCGCCATGCCAAATTCAAAAGTTGACATACCTCTCATGTTTAATATATTTTCCCTCCTATTAGCTATCACGGACTCTATTTCATGGAGGATTTTAATTTGGCCAATAAGAGTAACTCTGCATTTCTATTGGCTTACAAAAATGCCGATGACTGGTGTTTCATGCTGATGAAAAATATTTGCTATGCAACTCTGCGCGAGTTCCCACGCAGTTCTCTGCACGTCCAACAACTACCACCCGTAGGCGATTACAACGGTGATCTCACATATACATTGTAGATTTTGTGTGCGTCGCACACGGAAACCAACATATTTCAACGCAGACATCGTTTCCTTAGCATATCCTCACGAATGTACTGTACAATGCTACATATTTTCATATCCATCAACCCTATTCCCACAACAAGCACTTCTTGGACGGGTTCAAGGTCGAGTCGATGGGACATTTAAACACACGGGCAAACTCAGCGTTATTTTGCAACGCCCCCGTCACACGGAACCGACCGGGCGGGTAATTCCTGCTCAAAGACGCGCGGAGGGAAGAATCCTTGTTTTTGACGCACCAGAGTTGGGCGAACGACAAGTAGAACAACTTGTCGCCAGCTTCTTCCGTGTACTGCGACGGGAACTTCTTCAAGTACTCGTGGTACGCACGGAAACTGGTCTTGAGCCCCCCGTTGTCGGCAATGGTTTCACTCAAAGTCCGGTGGCCGCTGACGTTGCCCAACACAGCGCCAGTTAGGTCGCTCTGGACGACAAAATTGCCGTACTGATCGCTTATGCACTGGGCCTTCGTCTTGAACGCAATGTCGGTGGCGTTCGACCACCACGGGTTCAAATTGCCGTCACCATCGTAGTTACGGTAGCGGTTGTCGAACCCGTGGGTAATTTCGTGTCCGATAACCATCCCGATGCCACCAAAGTTCTGGGCAGCATCGTATTTGAGATCAAAGTACGGGGCTTGAAAAATGCTGGCCGTGAACAAAATTTTGTTCTCGCGATGCTTGTACCGCGCGTCCACAATTTGGGGAGGACTGCTGAACTTGCGCTTGTTCACGGGTTGGCCGTTCAGCTTCAAGTTGGTGTCGATATTCACCTGAGACACCTTCCAGCGGTTCTTCAAATACGTCTTCGAGTCCAACGTCAGAGTGGGGTAAAGCTGCGGATTCTCCGGGCCACCCAATAAATGCACATACTTGGACAGCTTCGTTTGCGCGTTGGTGCGGGTCGAGTTGTCCAACCAGTCGGCGGTGGCAATGCCAGTGGAGAAGGACGACTTCAAGGCCTTGACTAGTTCGTCGGCCGTCTTGGCCGTGCCAGCCGACCACACCGTGTCTTGGAAGTCCTGGCCCAGCAGCTCGCCTAAGACGTCGTCCACCTCTTTGGCGCAAAACTGTTCACGAGTAGGCTCCTCCCCTTGTTGCAAATACTTGCCAAAGAAGTTCCAGTTCGCCGTGCGGAACTCAGGCGTCAGGTGCTTGGACGAGGCGTGGATGAGCTTGTACTCCACAATCGTGCGGAGGTCGTCCAACGCCGTGTTCTTTAACAACTCTTCCGTCTTGTCAAAGTAGTTCAAGTCGAGAAACCCCACCCAGTCGTTCGATCCACCGCACTGGTCCTGGACGTTGAAGCCATTGGCCTTGAGCCACGAGCCGATAAGCAGCGGGTACTTCTCATCCAGTTCGCAGTACGTCAACACAGCGTACGGAGGCCCATTGGCTTTCGTGTATTTGACTTTTTTGTGGGCGAAACCCGCCAGAGTTTGCTCGAAACGGATGATCACCAGCACGGCAGCCGCCGCTTGATCGGCAGTGTAGCCAGCTAGCTGCAGCACCGACTCAATGTACTCTCCGTAGAAGTCTTTGAACGCATACCAATAAAAAGGAGTGATGTAGTCCTCTCGATTCAGCGGCAGGAGGGCTCGTGAACCGAAGAGGGCGTTATTGGTTGCGTTGGCGGGATCACGTCTGGCGCTGATGTCCACGAAGCCAGGGATGCCGTTCTTGCCCAATTCACCAGCCACAACGAGGAGGTCCAACGTGGTGTTGGCTGACCGAATGGCTTTGATCGAGTCGTCCAAAGGAGACACGCCGAGCGACGAGAGCGTAGCCGTGTCCAAGCAGGAGTTGTAAAAAGCTCCAATCTTGGTCGAGTTGTCAGACAAAATCTGCTGCAACACGGCTTCATTTTGGATAGAGATCTTGGTGGGCGCCGTATCGATTAAGTCTCTGCCCGGGGGGATCACAGCATCCTTCAACCACGCACCACACGCATATTGGTAAAAGTCTTCGCAGGGGTTTGCGGAATAGTCGATGAGCTTGGTCACAGACTCGGGGAGTTCGGTAATGGAGCCAGCTGTAGCGGCAGTGGCCAACGCACTGACGAATATCAGGGCTTTGACCATGGTAGAGCGAAAACGAAAATGAAGTTGGCCAAAAATGTCAACCATTGAAGTGAAGACCAGGCACCAGATTCCCATACTACGCTACTCACTGTGGTTGCTTTACTCTTGAATAATTCCCTCATTAAAACAGTTCCACTGTTGTTGTGACCCGAAATAGTGTTTCAATGAGGGTATTATCCCATCCGGACACACCTTTTCGCCCATAGCCCTGTAACCTGGGACTCCGACCTACCCCCGGTGAGTTCATACGACTGAATCGCAAGTGGTTACAGCAGCTATCGCTACTGTAACCACTGAGATGCACTTAGCCCCTAGTAAGTGGTGAGGTGGTCCGAGCATACAAAGTTCACACTATAATGCAGTGTTTCCGGAGAAAAACAACAGTGGAACTGTTTTAATGACGGAATTGTACTGTAATACGTAGTACGTTTACTATTCGATACCACCGGAAACTTCTTATCACACAGGATTCAATTTGCTGCCAGTCAAAATCATTGACCAAGGTGCATCCTCGATGAGAAATTGAAGTCGAACATGCGGAATAGAGTACTCGTAGACTCAATACTACCGGTAGTTGTGTACTTGCGGTACACTGTCTGGCCGTAATCGTATTTCGACGAGGTTCTTGATTGCTGTCGTTCAATGTGCAAAATGCCAGTGCGTAGTTTCGAAAAGGCGTCGATGTCGATCTATTCCTTGTTGAAATTCCCTCATTGAAACACTATTTCGGGTCAAAACAACAGTGGAACTGTTTTAATGAGGGAATTATTCTTACGTATTAATACTATAATAGTATATTTCGTCTACCCGACCATTAGGGCTACGAGTAATTTTCATCTAAATCCAGAAATTATATTTCTTCATCCACGGTAGTCAGTCATCCATAAACCTGGATGATAGAGTGGTGATCTATCTATTCCTCTTGTCGCTTGACTACTAATACAATGACCTATCATTATCCTAATCAGGTATGTGACCTGATAAAATGTTGGTTGGTGGATGACGTCTGATACAGTAAGATCTCTGGTAAACCGGTAGTTAGTTTTAACTGTTAATGCTGTCCACCATGAGTCCAAGGGCTTCGGACGGAGGCATAGATGTGCAAGTCGTTTAACGCAGCCAACAGGATCCCCATACTACGTAGTACGAGCTACTCACTGTGATTGGTTTATTCGATACCAACTTCACATCATAGGGTATCATTGACCAAGCGAGGAAGAATTTTTTTGCCATCCATAGGAGCAAACGACACTGTCTGTGTACCTATCGGATACTCCGGAGTAATGACTTGGCTGAGACATGCCTAGTCGAATGTTAGAGGATATATCAAATCGCCTCTTGGAGTACTATCAATTAGGAATCGAGTGGTGAGGTAAACCAGTCCTGTAGCCAATTAAACGTCAGTATTGTGGACTCTGATTTGTGTATTTCTTGTTTAATCCAATATCGAAATTGTATTACTACGTAGTAGCTAATATATAGTTGTACGTTCCTCCTTTTATGAGTTCTTAATGGATTAGGCCCGGTGAGAGATTCTACCACGCAGAAAATGCTCCTGACCATTTGGGCTATGAGTGTTTTTCATCTAAATCCAGAAATTATATTTCTTCATCCACGGTAGTCATCCATAAACCTGGATGACTAGAGTGGTGATCTATCTATTCCTCTTGTCGCTTTACCCTAACACAATGACCTATCATTATCCTAATCAGGTAAGTGACCTGATATAAAGTTGGTGGATGACGTCTGATACAGTAAGATCGCTGGTATACAGGTAGTTAGTTTTACTGTTAATGCTGTCCACCTCTACAGTAGTCCAAGGGCTTCTGACGGAGGCATAGATGTGCAAGTCGTTTAACGCAGCCAACCGGATTCCCATACTACGTAGTACCACCAGCTACGCTACTCACTTACTTACTGTGATTGGGTTATTCGATACCAACTTCACATCATAATGTTTCTTATGGTACCAGTAAAAATCATTGACCAAGCAAGGAAGAATTTTTGCCATCCATAGGAGCAAACGATACGGTTTGTGTACCTATCGGATACTCCGGAGTAATGACTTGGCTGAGACATGCGTCATCGAATGTTAGAGGATATATCCAATCTCCAAGCTATTGTGTGCAGGCAGAGATCGCCACTTGGAGTGCTATCAATGAGGAATCAAGTGGTGAGGTAAACCAGTAGTAACGTTACTGTACTACAGTAGTAGTACTAGTATGTAGGAAGTCGAGGCTGCAGTCACCACTCAGGACGTTATGATCGCCTCATAGTTTATATCACTACAATTGTTCTAATGAGCACTACCTACGTGGTTTACACCCTCGACAGCACGTGAGCACCACCTATGTTGTCGCTCCAGCCGTGGAACAAACACGATTGACATTAACGAGGCCAATTCAGAAGTAAATTCGAGGTTAAGTTCATTACTATCTGGTCGGCTACATCTTAATTCCTCTTGCATATTGTATTCTAAAGAAAACTGGCTAATGAAAGCACAGTATTCGATGATAATGCAAAAACACCAAATATACGGTGCTGTTGAAGTTGCCTTTCGGCTGGATCGTCATTTCGCAGAAAAGATTTCCCCCAAATGGCTAGTTTTCGGCATGAACCTTCGCCATCTTCTTGACAATGACAGGTGCTTTCGCTGTCTTGCAAAACGCCGCAAACAACGCAGGTACGTCTTCTTGGATGTTTGTGGCTGGTTCCTACGAATTCTCCACAGCTTGGAGGTCACGCCACTTGATAAGCACTTCATACGTCTTCTTCGTCGCTTAGCGAACCGAGACGATGGCTTCAACTTCAAACCTTCGGAGTTATGCACTGCATGAGCGAGGAAGTCTTCGGTTAAATCGAGGCCTTTATCCACGTAGCATGAGCCGTCTAGCATGCGTCATTCGTTCGTCCCTGGTCATAAGGTTTTGGACGTCGTAAAAACAACGGTTGATCACGTCTGTAACCACAGTCGGTTCACATGATTTGGCCCCAAGGTTGAATCGCTGGTGCTGCCAGACGTCTTGGTATAGCACATAATTGCCCACAACTAAATGGGCCATCTGCACCCCTTTCTTCGCGTCGTGCGTCTTTTTGCACACTCGTCCTTATCGCATTGGTGGCTGCCATTTCCTTGTGTATCCCATCTAACGCTTCTTGGGCGTCATGGATATGAGCCCGTTGGGCTGGCTCCACTACAGTTAATGTCGCTGTCTTCAACCGTCCGGGCAACGCGATTGTGTCCATCGGGGACATTGGGGGCGGTTGGACATGGCCGTGATAGGTGCTACACCACCGAGGGATGGTGATAGCAGCTGGTTCTTGATTAGCGCTCGTTCTTGATTAGCATGATCACCAGGTCGATCCCGGGACATTGGGTCGCGGTCATCTGCCATTGACGGAGGCACGCCCGACACAATCGGAGCAGTTGGCGCATTACGACTTCAACGGTGCAAGCCCCATACGAAATTCGTCCTTGGTATGGGGTTTGCGGACAATGTAGAGGGGTACAGGCCCACCGACTGGTCGGGTGCGGTAAGTGAATCCGGCCGACTCGAACTCTTCCACGTGCTTCTGCATGAACTCATGCTGTGGCAGGAAGTAACGTCGGGCCTTGAAGCGCACCGGCTTGGCTTCGTTGGCCAGGTGCAACTTCAGTGGGGACATGCTGACGGGTGGGTCTCGGCCCAAAGTAAGCCGGAACACGTCCACATACTTGGTAAGGAGTTGGTCCAATCCAGTGGCAAACACCAGCCCACGTGGTATGCCCCCCGTGACTGCCATATCTGTCCATCCGGCAATGTCGAAGGCTGACAAGGTGGCGTTGCCGGGTCAGACAATGTCGGCAATGCTGACAGAGGTGGAAGGTCAGCGCGAGAGCATTGTCGCGGCCCAGCTGGCGTTGAAAGAAATGCACAAGTAGATGTCAGTGGAAAATGCTCGCGGCAGTACCACGACAAGAAGGGCGTACGGATGGCCCAGTTCGTTGTGGGGGACTATGTCCTCTACCAGGACGCCTGGGCGTACTTGCTCGGGAAGTTGTGAACCAATTGTTGCGGCCCGGCCGTCGTCACCGAGGTGGACAGAAACTGGGTGTATGACGTCGAGAACCAGCTGACTCATGACGTCCGCCCCATCCACGCCAGCCGCCTAAAGTTCTACGCGGACTGTGACTTGGACGTGATATTCGAGCTGCTCGACCAAGTCACCCACAACTCAGAAGAGTTCGACATAAAGGCCATGGTGGACGCGCGGTGCATTCCCACGACCAAGGTGTGCGAGCTGTTGATCAAGTGGCGCCGACTCCAAGACGTAGAGAACATGTGGGAGCCAGCCGACAACATATTCACCGATGTGCCCGTGATGTTCAAGGCGTTCTGTAAGGCGGCCAATGTTGCGAGGAGTAGAGTCGAGCGAGGCTGATTAAGCCTTGGTAATATGGAAAAGTGATTAGGTGGTTAGTCTAACCTATTTTGAATGAATGGACTCTGTAGTCAGTAGTCGACAGCTCTGAGGGGGCCTTTGACTATAACTTTTGCTACACGAACGCAGTATAAAAAAGTGAAAAGCAAAAATGTAGCGCGGCGAATATGCTAAAAATGTGTCAAGAAAATAGTCCTTTAAACCTTATGTACCCACAGATACGATGCCTTGAATTTCAAAAAACTGTCTAATTTCACCCTATTACCTTATATACTCTGACATATAATACAAAGTGTGACAATACAGGCGAAAAGTTCACCCATTACACACGCACACGGCACTCTGGCTCTGATTCTCGACACCAGCCTCACAAATCGAAATAGAAGATCTTGGGTTACAGAATGCTGTTATACTGTAGTAATGGACAATGCAAAATACCATAAAGGGCTTCCTCTGGATACACTGAAGTATGGAAATAAGAAGAGTGTCGTACAGGATGCTTGCACGGTGTACGGCATTTCTTTCACAAATGAAACGAAGGCTGCATTGTGGTAAAAGCTAAGTGTGCATGTAAGCAAGATTGACATCGAGGTTGTATCCTTGGCACGCGCCGCAGGGCATGAGGTTGTTTACACACCGCCTTACCACAGTGACCTTCAACCAATCGAGATTGTTTGGGCCATCGTAAAGTGCCAAGTACAGTGATTTTTACTATGCATATATGCTAATGTTGTGCAGGATGGACGTCAGTACACACAAGACACCACGTTTAAAGACGTCCGCGTGCAGCTCATGAAGGCATTCGAGGACTTGACTCCAAGCAGCATCAAGGGCTGCATACACAAGGCCGACAGGCAACTCAACAAGCTTGCTGCGTACAACAAAGAGCAACACGAAGGCGATGCGAGTGATAGCGACAGCGACTGCAGCGACAACAGCAGCAGCAGTAACGACTCAAGTAGTTCAGAATCAGTGATGTAATAAATTTCATCTCTTTTCATTGGTCGAACGTTAACATGCAGCGGAGGTGTTGGAAATTCAAAAAAACTCTTTGTATTGATATGTTTTGGCAGGCCCCCTCGAATCTGTCGACTACTGTTAGTCTAACTTGTCGATTGAGTGACGAGTCGGTGTCTTCGTGAGGGCGTCGGCGAGTTGGTCGGCTGTACCGACGTGGTGGACGCTCAGGCGGCCGGCTGCGATGACTTGGCGGATCCAGTGATGTCGCACTTCGATGTGCTTGCTGCGTTCGCTTATGGCCGTTGTCTCTACGGTGGCAATGGCGGCAGTGTTGTCACAGTACGTCTTGACTGTCTCTTGTACTGACCCGAGTTCTTGTAGAAGGCCGCACACCCAGAGAAGCTCTTTGGCGAGCTCGACGAGTGCGATGTACTCGGACTCACATGTCGACAGGGCCACAAACTTCTGGCGGGCTGATTTCCACGCGACGGCGCCACCTCCGACAAGGCAGATAAATCCAGTGGTGGAGCGCCGGTAGGGCTTTGAAGCCCAGCTGGTGTCAAAGTACCCAACAAGCACGGGTGGGTGTCGCGTGAACGTGATGCCTTGACTCACACTTCCCTTGATGTATCGCATTAGGCGTTTGGTGCCAACGAGGTAAGGAACGCGCGGGTCGTGCAGATGGCGGGACAGCCGCTGGACGATGTCGGGTCATCAGGTGCATGAGGCTCTCCACCATCGATCGGTAGACTGATTGGTCGACCTTAGGTTGCATGTCATCGAACCAAAGGTCTTCATGCTCGGCCACGGCGGGAGTCATGTGTGGGCACGAGTTGGACAGACCGAACCGCTCGATAATCTTTGTCGCGTGGGCCTCCTGGCTCATACGCATTGACCCGGTGGATGGATCGCGACTGAATCGGATTCCCTAGAGGTAATGTAACTCCCCTTGCCCCTTGAGTTTCAACTTGCATTCCACCTGGTTGATGATGGCGTCGACGGCGCCGGCGGTCTTCGCGACGACCGTGAAAACGTCAATATAGGTACTGATCATTTGGAGCGCCTCACACGTGCCTATGATGAATAGGCACGGGTCGAATTGGCTTGGTGCAAAGCCGAGGGCGGTGAGGGTGGCCAAGCAGTGGTTGTACCATTCGAGAGCAGCTTGCTTCAGGCCTTAGAGTGCCTTGACCAGCAGCAACTTGCGGTGAGTGCCGTCTTCATATCCTGGGACTTGGTTGACGTAGATGGACAGGTCCTTGCGAAGCATGGCTTGAACGAAGGCGGTGTCGGCGTCGGCCTCTTGGGCATGGAAGTCTCGGGCGGTGATCAAAGCCGTCAACACGCGCACAGTCGTCATCTTGACTACAGGTGAGTAGGTTTCATGGTAGTCTACTCCTTCAGCTTGGCTGAAGCCATTGCATACTAGCCGGGCCTTGAAACACACGTACGACGTTGCCTTGAGCGTCCGTCTTCTTGGCGTATGTCCATCGGCAGCCGATGGGTTTGCGTCCTTGAGGTAAGTCGACGACTCACGGAATTGCTTCAGCTCTAGGAGCTATGCTTCGGCCCAATTGGCGTGGTCGACCGACGCCATGGCTTCCTTGTGGCTCTGTGGGACGTTATCGGGACTAGGGAACGCCGCGCACGGGATTTCGAGGCCGTCGAACGCCAATGTGACGGTCTCATGGTCGGGGGGGAGGCAGTCCTTAGTTTCGTCGGGTGTATCATTGGTTTCCTGCGTCGAAACCCATGCCGCGTGGCCTGCGTCTCGTTCGTCGGAGCTACGGTTTCGAGAGCGTGAGGCCGCCACTTCGTCGGCGGCTCTCGCGATCCAAGTCGCGATGTCCTCTGCGGCCGCGGCCTGACGCGCTGGATTGCGGTGGGAGAAACCTTCATCATCGAACCAGCGCAGGACGCGAAGGCTGGAGTGGGGGCGCAGGGAACGGTTATTGCTTGTCTGCTGGTGACGGCTTGGTGGTTAACTTGATCGCTGCGATAGGGATTGGTGAATTTGCTTTGGAGCGAGGGAATGCGGAAGTGGCTTGTTGGAGCTACAGCGGCACTTGACGCTTGTTGGCGCGGGGTGTCCAGGAGGAGGGTCATCCTTGGCGTCTTGACTTGGTGTCGCGGCGTCGCTGCGGGAGTAGTGGAGGGCCTCGTGTGGGCCGACTCATCGGAGGTATCAATTTCATCATCTTCTTCGTCGTCGTCATCGTCGCGGGTGACTACGTAGTCGTCGATCTTGGCCCGTTCGCCGAGAAACTCGGTTTCGTGGAATCTCACATGGAAGCCGGTGACGCTCTTGTTGGCGGCGAGGTCATACAGTTCCAATGCCTTCACGTTCTTGGAGTACCCGAGGAACACGCACTTGGCGGCCTTCGAGGCGAGTTTATCCCTTCTTGATGGGTCTTTGATCATGTTGTAGGCAACACATCCGAAGACCTTCATGTTGCCGAGCTATGGTCGGTGGCCCGTGAATGCTTCGATGGGGGTAGTGGTGGCCGTGGTGGAGTGGACCACGCGGTTCAAGATGAAGACGGCCATGTTGACGGCTTCGGCCCACCAGCGACGGGCGATGCCAGCGTTGGACATCATGGCGAGGGTCATTTCCATGATGGTCCTGTGCGCGCGTTCGGCGACGCTGTTTTGCCAATGGTTGTCGGGTGAGGAACTCTCATGATGAATTCCTCGGCTCTTTAACTGAGTTCACATTCTTGCCACATAAATTTTGCTGAAAACCACAGAACAGACGCCACCTGTCAACTCATGTGGTGAGGTGGAATCTCGAGTGATGCGGCTGTGCATCGAGGTGCTTAAAAAGGGAATTGTATTACATCTGAATTGTTGGCATTCACTGCGTAGCCCGGGGAAATCAATAATCGGATGGTGGCAAGGGATACAGTAAAAGAAAAGTTCATACGATAGGAATGAACGTACTGTACATGTACAGTGACTGTACATGTCCATAACTGTTGTCGGCGAAATAATGGTCCCGCCGAAAGGCAACTTCAACAACACCGTATATTTGGTGTTGTTGAATTTTCCTCGAATACTGTGCTTTGATTGGCCAGTTTCCTTTCGTATACAATTTGCAAGATGAGTTAAGATGTACTAGTAGCCCACCAGATAGAGAGTGAACTTAACCTCTAATTTACTTCTGAATTGACCTTGTTAGTGTCAAGCGTGTTTGTTCCAAGGCTGGAGCGACAACAATAACTCAGGCTGTAGAGTGAATCTGAGGCAGCACAATAGCTCGTTCAACTGGTCAGAGGTAGTTCTGTAATGTAATATATATGTGAAGTGTATGTGTGCCCCGGAAGTGCTCAAAATGAATGGCTCCAAGGGGCCACAAGAATTATGCCGATAACTCAGGCTGTAGGGTGAATATGTGGCAGCACAATGGCTCGTTGCGCTGGCCAGAGGCAGTTCTGTATGTAGTATGTGTGCGGAGGATATGCGTGCCGGAAGTAAGCAAGCTACAGTATATGTGTACCCCGCGAGTAGCTGAATAATTATGGAGAATCAATTACTCTTGGTTGCTTTGTACTTAGTTGCTCGCAGTTTGTGAAACGCCCAGGTAGTATTTTATAATTTGCTACAGCGAAAGTATACAATATTGCAATAGTATGAAGTTCATTTGGGAACGTTGGTTGTACGGTTTTGTACCACAAAAACCCACATGAAACTTAACGTAACTTTTTTAGTAACTGTTAGGTAGTTTTTTACAATTTGCTACTCCAAGAGTATACTAATCTTCAATGTAACGATCGAACTATCCTAAACTTATCGAAACGAGGACAGCATATTTTGGCCAAAAAGCCTTGACACTACTAAGTGTATATTCGAGTGAGCGTTGAGAACAATAAACAGCGTGCTAGAGTGTGCTAGGCAATTTGGCTTGGGTGATATTACAAGTCGAATATTGTGAGGTGAAGGGGGGATGCATAAGGGCTGAGGAGGTGCAGGAGTTGTAGTCGCTAGTATTCTGGCGATCTACATACACTATAAGCTAGTCATGATGTCGTGAATGGTGGCTCTAACCTCGTAGAATGGTGCTTGTGTGCTTTCACATGTCGATAAGACAAGCAGAAGCGTTGTGGAGGGGACATAATGCCGTGGGGGGTTATAAACGATGTAGGGGTTGCAATCGATACAGCTTTAGCGATTTACATGCACTATGAGCTAGACGCGCTTAGTGACTGAATGAAACCTCTACTTTCTGATGTAGATTCACCACGGCTCTTACCCAAATTGCTAGCGTTTACACGAATAACTTGTCGTTGAGCTCCACACACAGCTGTACGTTTTACTTTTAACTTTCACACAAAGTCACATTGCACACACATAACGCATACTAGTACAAAGGAATATCAAAGGGCTACATCAAATTGCTAGCTCAACTGCTGGCATGATTCTGGACTCTCGAATGAGTATTGCCTTACTAGCAGAAATGGATTTGCCCGTCGTTGATGCGAGCAACAACGACGGGCAAATCCTCTACTATACTGTATCAGCTCTTCCCCTTATCATTCTATTAGTTGTGAATAAGGCATCTGCAAAGCAAGGCTAGTTACTTTAGTACTTCGAAGTACTGTACATCAGTCAGGCAATACGAGGCCACGTGCTCCTGTTCAACCCTACCCGGTATCATCTTCCAGAAATACTGCGTGTTCATTGAATTAATATTACTAGTACTTGAAGTACTTCAAGTATAATTTATGGCCAACCACACATTTCAATGTCGTCATTCTTCAATTTGCCACCTCATACACACTGCTCAGTGGGTCCGTGGGTATGTAAATAATCGATCCCCTTGCGGATTCAGCCATCCGTTAGTACCGCTAGCAAGGTTCATTCTATATCTAGGCACTACATAAATCACGACTATAGAAGATGTCTTACAGAAGCAGCACGAAGCACGTGGAACTTTGGCGGCTTGTGGCGTAGGCTGGTTGCTGTGGGAGTCTGGTAGCATGCAGTACAGTTCACACGACTGCTCCAGGCCATGAGGCCTGAAGCAATCGTTCGAGGTTTAGTCCCATGTATACGTATAGCTACTCGCAGTAATAATATACACTACATCCTGATTCGCGTCCGCTTCATGCCATCAATCGGTGGGTTGGTCATAGGGCCGTCGATAAGTTTAAGGTATTTCGTGATTTCCTTCATATGTGAGTGAGTTTAATTAACCAATCACATTCAGTCCGGAACGAAACTATAGACGCACCTTATTTTTTTTAGTTTGTCATGAAATTTATAGTTTTATCCAAAACCATCAAAGTCAAAAACCTTCAAATGGTGCTTCCAGGTAATCTACAGAAGGATTTTGCTCAAATATTTGTGGATCCAGATAAAAACCCAAATTTCGAAATTTTGGGTGTAACAAAACTATAGACGCACTGTGTATATTGGCTCATTTATCGATACATTGTCCACGACGAAGGATAACTTGGGCCATTCTAGTTGGCATACCATCTACCAAGTGCGATAGGTACTTTTGATCAATTTCCTCCCATGATTGGAGGATCTGGGCCTTCAATTGGGCCTTGGTGTCAAATTGACGTCCATGTGCATAAACTTTGCGCGCTAGTACCCCCCAAACATTCTCTATCGGGTTCAAATCAGGGCTCATAGCAGGCCAAGTCATCGTAGTCCACGGCATTTCTTCCAACCAGGCCATTGTCGAACGTGAGCGATGAATACTGGCGTTGTCTTGCTGGAAAATCGCTTCCCCATTTGGCGTCAACATTAGTACAAAAAAGCCCTCGACCAAGCTGCATCTATAAATTTATCTCGATGAGAATTGATAAATAACGTTGCTTTTTAATATCCAAATTCACACCGGAAATTCGAATAATTATCCAAGGTTGGCATTAATATTTAATGCTGTCCAGTACTGTACTAAATTACACACCGGAGATTCGAATAATTATCCAAGGTTGAAATTAATATTTACTGCTGTCCAGTACTACTGTAGAAAGTCATAACTGCCACAAGCGCACCCCATTGAACTCGTTTGATAAGGATGACAAAGGAGTGAGTTAGGTGCAGCTGGTCAACCTCCCGATACTTGGTCGACCGAAAACGAGCGGCGCTCTTGGCGTCTGCTAACTACCCTGACGACGACAAGGGCATGTACTACTCTGGACATCGCGATGAATTGCATGATCAGGTACTATATTACCATGCTCAACTGGAAGCCCCAACTACTACATAGTAGTCGTTAGGCGAACAACGTTCCGACGACTTGTCGAATTATTTCGTCCCGACGAATGCTTTTGCATTCAGTCGCCATAGCCGTCATGATACTTGGCGTATTGTTGTTAATCACGACCTTATAGCCATTTTTACAGTTAGTTTGGTAGGCCATCGATCCCAAACTTACGACTCTACTACGTTTAACTCACTAGTACAATTTGTTGAAGGTCTTCACGAGATCGAGGGGTAGAAATTTGTACGCGATCTTTTAGCTAGGATTTACTGTTAGTCCAGTTTAGGGAGCGTCTGGTAACATTTCAAAAATAATATTCCACTTTCTGGCAAAATGGGATAAATAAAAAATGACGTTTTCAAAATGGAGGTAAAAGGTCCATTTAGTAATGTGGCGTTTTGGATTTCCTCAAGGAATAAATAAATCCCATTTGGAAATATTGATTTTAGGTTAAAACGCTTCAAGACATGGTTCAATATTTATCAGATTTATTGAATTTGGCCCCAAAATTGCGTTTTGGGCCAGAATATTGTAATATTTCACGTTGCCAGACGGGTCCTTAATCTCGCCAACATCCAAATATTAATATATTTAGTCGTATTGCATCATACTATTAGCTGAACTAGTAGCAAGTATACAATACCAGATGCAGACTTGTGATTGACTTTCATTTCTCCAATGCATATCTTTTCAACCGTGGCAATGTAATGACGAATTCTTAGCCCAATATATATTATATTTATTTATATATTCAAAGAAATATATTTTTTATTACTCTCGCTACGTTATTCGTCCACGGGCTCAGTCGCGCCCACACTGTGCCGCGCCAGTCGTCTCAACGTATCTTTAAAGTCCTCCTACGAAACAAGTTGTCAGGACGAATACTAATTTATTAAAAAGTCTTCAAAGCCAAAATCAATAGATACTACCTACAGAATAATAATAATAATAAAACACCCTACTCTTCTTAGTTTTCCACACACATTCCAACCAATCCAATCAATCAATACCCCCCAGCCATCATCCATCCACGTCCAAGAACTCATCGCCACATACAGCGATCCTTCAGACCAAATATATATATATATATATATATTGGAGATTCGGTATGAATTTCCGGACCCCGTTCAATCGAATCTCGCCAAGCGAATCCAGCACCAATCTCTCCCATTGGTCAATCCGAAATTACTTGTCGCTGATTGGCTACAATCCATTTTCGAGTTTCTACTGGAAAGGGCCGAAGTGGATAATGGCCAATCAGATGTCTCGGCTCTATTTGAGCTCGATTGAACGAACCATGCAAAATTGGGAAATTTGAAGAAAATCGACAATATATATCTGTGTAATATATCCAAATAGGGTAGTTTTCGTGTGAAGTCGAAGATCAGTATATACAAATATATATATAAGTACCTCGTCGTGGTCGATCTGAAAGACGTCCACGG